CCTGCATTGTTTTCAATATCATTCACCCGAGTGCCTACACTGGCACCTAAGGCTTTCTGCAAAACTATGTAAAAGCTTGCTTGTACTCTCACACTAAAACATACATCAACAAATTTAAAAAAAAAAAATGTTGGTATGCTTCCTCAAGGAAAGGAAGTGCTGGTTAATGATTAAAGAAAACTGAATGGATGGAAAAGAAAAATAGCACCCTTGATTTACCCCTAATTTATCCCTGGGTAAGTCAGAAGCCAGTATTCACTGGGTTTGGGAATTTCCATGGAGGATCAAACCAGATGCTGATGTTGGGCACTGGGGAGGCTGCTGAGTGTGAATTCAAAGGACACTGTCTGATGGCCTCTACCTCCACGAGGACACTAATCTAACTGCACTGTGTGTGCATTATGCAGATGTATGCATAGGGGATGAAACGGTGACTCAGTAGCTTGGAGGTGTGAAAGACAGAAGGCAGCACTTGATTCTCACATGCTAGGCTGGCTGCCTCCCCCACACACACACACATAAAGCTAAGAGCTGCTCCTGAATACCCAGGGTGATTAGAAAGAGTTGAGGATCAGAGAGGAAATGTGTCTGCGAGGATAAAAGATTCCCACTCAGCTATGCAGATATTCTGGGATTAGCTTCCATCAAAATGCAGGGCTGGGGAAATCTACAGCTACAATGGGATTAAGAAAGAGCTGACAAAGGATCAGTTTTTGTAGCACACTGCTGAAAAGTACAACCGGGAACACAGGCAGCCTGCAACACTAAGTCAGCTAAATAAATCAGCTGCTCTGCCTCCATTTTACTCAGCTATGTCAGTTCCCAGAAATCTGTTCATTCACACGGGCCTTTATCAGACACTCATCCTTACAGTACAGAGTAGCTTCTTTAAAAGTTTTAAAAAAAAAAAAAAAGATTAGGTATCTAAGGAAAACATTCCCCAATACTGTCTTATAGTTCCTTAACTTTCAGGTCAGAGATAGCAGCATTTTTTCTGGTTTATGTTTTAGTGTGAGAGTCCAAATAAGCTTCAGCATAGCATAGCAGAAAATATTAGGCTAACTCAAGGCCTGTGATAAGACCAAGCCACAACCTGAGAACAAAATCCTACTTGGCTCCTTTTTTACCCAAACAGCAAGTTTTAGATGTACTTTGTCAACACATCTGAGTTAGCAAGCACGCAGATAAACCTAACTGCAATATCATTTTAAATTACTGAAAATGAGAACTGTAATGATCTTATTTAATCATACATATTAATTAACGTGTTCCTATTTACATTTAGGTTGGTTTTTCACTGACTAAAACCAGAGAACTCTCCATTTTCATCAAGAATGACAATGTCCACACGCAAAAAGATGGAACTCATTACTGCAGCCCTCCAACTAATTCCCCAAAACCTCTGCATCTCATTTTGGAAAGAGCTACTGTTTGAAGTTCAGTTAGTTTTCTCTAATCTTGACAGGAATAGCTCCAATTTATTTTTTGTTCAAACTGTACTTCCCATCTTCAAAATCCTGATAACCAACTCTTCATATTTACCAATATGGTGCAGAATAAACCTGAGCTCACTTGTCTGTGGCACCTGGCAGGGCTCTCGCACAGCACTGTGAGCAGAGGCCCGAGTAAAAGGATTTTAAAAGATCTGTGAGCCTGAAACCCAATCAGAAAGCTTCTTTTTTGTTGTGGTTAAAATAAGCAGTACAATAAAAAATGAGAATTTCAACAATCCACAAAGGCCCTTTCAATACACAAGTAAATTCAAGATCTGAAGATCCCCAGCCCATTACAGATCTGTATCTGTCTGGCTCGACTCCAGCACTACGACACATCCAGGCACAACGCTCAGCTGGAGGGCTAGTCCCCCCAAAATAAAGTTCCTCTAAGCATATCAAACCTGATAATCTGTGCTTTACACTGGGTTGCCATAGAGGGAGGGCAAATAAAAAGACTGAAAGATCTGTCCATCCATGATACAAATTTTAAAAATTAAGAAAACTGCCTGAAGCTCAGGGGTTAAAACTACTCCAGACTGAGGGGCACACAGAACCTCTGGGATGGCAAGTCTGAAACCAAAGAGCAAAGCTACAAAAGACCTAGAAACTATAAACTTTAGCACATTCATTCTGTGCCTCAATGCCACATGCAGAAAACAGTAGACATAAAAAGGCAGTAATTTAGAATCTCAATTTTTCCACTGGGAGAAAAAGAAAAAAAAAAAAAGAGAGAAAATGAGAACGCACCAATGGAGCCACCAACTGGATGTCACTTTGGGAAACATTTTGATAGATGGAGTACAACAAAAAAGCCTGCAAAAATGTGGTCTTACACCGGTTAAGAAGATTTAAACGGTCTCAGTGGTAGAAGACTGAGATTGAAGCGATCTCCTCTGCTACTTAACCTGTCTTGGAGAAAAAGGAACTCATTGTAAAAAGTCTCAGGCAGCTCCTCATTGTCTCAGACTCCTTATCTGGACAAAATATTGAACAATACACAGCACCAGGGATGCCCATGTCACGTCCCACGGTTTATTCATTAGCTTATCTGAAGCAATGGCACAAACAGTCTTTTCTGTTGTGCTTGAAGGGTTCATTTAATTTAAAAATATAGCCTCACTCGACAAAGGTTTAACTATTTATTCCTTGTCTCCTGCTACAATAACAGAACTCAGGCAGCATTCTGCACACGCTAAAAACCTCTCTACATATTCACATATGGTAAAGTTCCTTGCCCTCTTTTGCATTAGTGTTTGTTTTTAATAAAGCAAACTGCAAGCTGCATGATTTTAAGAAAGTTTTCCCATTTCTAACATCCTAAAAGGTATAGGAAGACTAAGTGATTTGTACTGATTCTCTTTACTCTTCATTTGGTGGTGCAAAACTTGGCTTCCATTCACTGTTTCAAGACGCAAAAACATGTTTGCTGTGAAGTTTTGTCACGGGATTGGCAACTAATAGTGAAAAGCAACTGCAACTAGCAGATAATCCTGTTAGACAGCTTGTCACCATCCTGATTTACTGTGACAATCTTTTTTTTCCCCCTCTCTATAAAGCAGGAAGTTTCTGACACAAGGAGAGCAAGAATTCCCCTGACTTAAACTTCAGCCACATCCTCAGCTCATTAGAACTGAAGCAGCTGACAGCTGTAATTAGGAGAGGAAACCCCTTCACCTGAGACTCCATGCACCACAGGAGCAAAACTCTGCCAGTTAGGGTAAGAATACCCTAAAATACTCCAAAAATCAAGTCTGAATTTATTCCTAGGCAATTTACATCACAATATCAGAATACATAAGTGAATATAAAAAAATGAATTTTAAATGCTAGCAAACTAGAGGGAAAAAAAAAATCACCAAAAAGAATTATGACAACTTATCTTCACTACTCTCTTTCCATAATAGCATATTCATCTAAAGACATCTGGTCTTGTAAGCAATGAAAACTAAGTACACGGAATTAGAAAGTAAAGATAAATGCTTTATATTCTAGCTTTCCCGGAGAGATCTCAATAAAAATTTATATATATGTAATAAAAATTTATATATATATATATATGCATGCATTAAGTACTTATGAAATAAAGTTGTGTAACTGAGCACACCTGGGTAAAAAAAGGAAATTATTTTCACATCTTACCTGCGCATTGGCTTTCCGTCCATGCACCGTGAAGAGAAACCTTCACTCACACTTCAAGAGCTGATCTAAGGCAAGAAAAAGGAAACAAAAAGTGTGATATTCTGCAGCGAGGGCGCCTTCCTTCCTCTCTTCAGTACGGCTCAGGGAGGACAGCATAAGTGACCACATCCATGTAATAACAGGCCTTCAAGCTCTTATCCAGCTGTAAAATTCACAGCCTGGATTAACGATGCCTAGATTGCAGAGACCATCAAGCAGGAGAAAATATAATCATCATTAAAAGTAATTTTGCCACAGCTGCATAATGATTCCCTAGGCAAACAGAACACGCGTGCCATAAATTCAGCAGGCTGCCTTTCTGCAGCCTTTCTCCAAGTCCTTCAGATTATTTTACCAAAGAACACAATACATATATATGAATCCAACCTGATCTCTCTCTCTCTCACATACCTCAGCCAGAGGCAGGAAATCTCTCTCCCTCATATATTTATCGCAGATCTAAGCAGGCTGGTGCCTGGCAAACTGCTCAGCAGCCTCTCTGTAGGGCCAGTATCTGACGCAAGATCTGCCCAATAGCTGGAAATTGGGGATAACTCCATGCCCCAGAGGTGAGCGCGATGCTACCAGTGGTGCTGCCTCTGCAGGGGTTAACGATGCTCCCCGAACACACCAAATCCAGCCAAAATAGTTATATTTTTGAGAACAGTAACAGTTGCAACCTGAAGAGCCCCCTCCCTATTCAAATACTACCTTCTAGCAGGGCTTAAGCCCCCTTTTTTTCCACAAGGGCATCCACCAGCCTGATTTCATTTTAATGACTACTGAGTCAGAAATAAGTTCAATTAAAACATTATTTAAAGCACTAAGAGTCACCTTTTTATGCAGTAAAAGAAAAGCAATAAGAGTCACCTTGTAGTAAATGTAGTCATGCAGTAAAAGACTAAAAGCATAATCATCTTGATACTCACAAAATCCTGCTACCCAGAACCGAAACCAGCACCGAAAAACAAAACAGGAAAACTGTGGGAAAGACAACGGCTGACAGCATAAGCCTGAGCAGCTCTCACGAAAGGAAAGCACGCGTTTACCAGAGAAGTTGGCTCAGAGAAGCACAGCACCCTCCCCAAAAGGGCCGGAGAGTCACGCGGCAGCTTTAGGCCCCACAGCAGCGCGGGTTTGGGGGGGCTACGTGAAAGCACAGAACGGCGAAAACAGGAAAACTGTGGGAAAGACAACGGCTGACAGCATAAGCCTGAGCAGCTCTCACGAAAGGAAAGCACGCGTTTACCAGAGAAGTTGGCTCAGAGAAGCACAGCACCCTCCCCAAAAGGGCCGGAGAGTCACGCGGCAGCTTTAGGCCCCACAGCAGCGCGGGTTTGGGGGGGCTACGTGAAAGCACAGAACGGCGCCCAGACCCCCCCCAACCCGCTGCTG